AGTATCTATGCTGTGTGTGTGTGTTTGATGTGGCTGTGAATGCCTCCTTGGTTTTAGCTGTGTGTGTGTGAATGTGTTTCTCTCCATGTGGCAACCTAGGAATTACATTCAGGCTACGCTCACACTGTGTGAACACAAATAATATTGAATCCACTTATTTGTGGTCCAAATCTGATACGGGTCGTTTTTTTTGCGATTTGACATCACAATTATGCACTGGTAAGAGTCTTGGGGAGCGACAATTAGAAATGTAATCTGTTTCCGTGAAGCTGCCATGATCATGTCCCTATCTTGGCTTTGAATACGCCTCAACATGCAAACTTGACATCCCAACACATTTTAGATTAAAGAGATGTTACAATTATGAGGTAGTATACAGAAAAAACAGGGATTGAGAGACCCAGTATGCAACATCAACATGAGGATTAGATATTTGTTAATTATATTTATTTTCAACGTTTCAACATTCCCTTCAGCACTGGTCATAATCAGCGGTCACCTATGGAGATATCCTGTGTTTAATCAATCCACCCTTTCCTAAGCTCTCTTTCTGATAAAAAAAAAATGTTTGGAACACCTTTTGAAAATGTTAGCGCCAATTGCTGTCGTGTCAACTGACCTGTTAGCATAAATGTCAATATTTTATTAAGCACCAACAAAAAAAGTGTCATGTTTATTGTCCATCAGGACACAGATGCATATTCCATTAAAGGTACAGCTGTAAAATACCAACATGCAACAAGAATCACGTCAGCTTGAGACAAATACCCAGTAGAAATAGTTGTTTACCCTGAAAGGTAGAAAACGCTTGGCTATCCATGTGCTGACAACACAGCTGAATGCCTTCAGGTGTTTAAAACATAATATCAAACTGTGCATGTTCCTGTGTGTGTTTGGGGCAGAAAAAGGAGGGTAGAGTGAGTTGTGTCCCTTTAGGGGCTTTCCCTGGCAGAGCTAGTGGGGTGTTGACAGTCTTCCTCCCGGCCTCCGCTCACCGTCAGACTGCTCACTAACAGCTGCTTCATGCCAAACACATTTTCTTCATCAGTCTCTCTTGTTCTTCCTTTCTCCCTTTCTTTCTTTCTTTCTTTATCCTTATACCACGGTCTTACTCTGGTTCCTTTCCTGATCCTTTTTCTGTCCATCCTCATTGGCGTTCATTTCGGAATACTCTCTTTTCCCATTAAATCTTTTTAAATCAAGCAGTTCATGTTATCCTTTATTCCAATATGTTTCCCATTCTTCTTTCTCATTCATTCAATCAAGCATCTATCTTCTCCTCTGTCATCCTTACTTTAATCACTTCTCCTTACAAAAGCCATCCCTCATTTATTCCCTTAATTATCCCTTTTGCTAACTTTCTATCTCCTTCGTCCCTGTGCTAAGTTTTCCCCTCTTCTAAAGTCCTTCCTCTTCCTATTTGTTCCCTTAAAGTCCTTCATCCCTTTTCTATTTCCCCCTATCCCTTTTCCTTTCCTTCTTCCCCTCCCTCACCTTCTGTACCTCTTCACTCCTCTCCCTGCCTTTCATTTAAAGCTTTTCGGGGGCTCTGCTTGATTCTTCCTCTGTCCTCCTTACTCCAGTCATCTTCTTCAAATAGAAAAAGGGAGGAGAGGCATGGGAGGGAAAATGAGAAGGAGTGAAAAGAGAGAGGGTGTGATTACTGTTATTAAGTCATTAAAACAGTAGCCTAATTGAATTGACAAGCTGTTAAGTAATTGTCTCTTTTTGCTCCCATCCATTATTCAGTTCTCGACTGCTGTTATGACAGCAGCGTGATGCTTATTATAAGTCTGCTTGTGTGTCTTGTGTGTACTCATTGTCTGTATTTACTTGACAGTACTCACAATGAGCTTTTATGGGTCTAAATGAACAAGTGCATTAATAATCGGTTCAAATGTTGTGCTAATCCAGGGAATCCCAAATAGTTTTCGACCAAAAGATTATGACAAATTTCCCACAAACGTTCCATTTTTTTGTGCCTGGAGTTTTGGTCTTGGTTCACTCTCACAGCGTTGTTTCCAGCTTTACAGACACATTTCTAAATGCCAGCTTTAACCAGTTGTTACAAACTCTGACCCATTACAACAAAGCAATAGTCATTTTCTCTAGCATATTTTGGAAGTATACAGGCCTTTACAAGAAAAACAGCAGAGGACAGTTTCAAATGATAAATATTTTCGGAGGAAAGATATTTCTTTCTGGTTCAATGTCAATCATTTTGCCTCCCCTTGGATTTAGTCTGTGACCCAGGTTTGAAATAACTGCCTTAATGCAACATATCTGAATATGAATTGTATTTATATCATTAAAAGCATACAAACAATACCAATATCAACAATGTTGGTGGCTTTATTATAGGTATTTGTATAAATAATGTGTGTACAATACAAATTCCTTATGTGCAAATTGTATAACATGTATGTTGCCTGAAAAGTTATCTTGGGCTAGAAAAGTATTCTTTTTTAATTCCAGTCACACACTCGATTGGTAATCCTAGTGAGAGACAAAGCTTTCCCTCTTCCATACTTCCAGCTGCCAATAATGAGTGACACTGCGCAGTATCTGTCTGCTGATTGGCTAATTTCTTCTGCAAACTCATCATCTAAAGGCCCCTCACTGCGTCACTGTGTGCACAGCCAAGGATAGCACAAACACCAACAATATCTGGCAGGTGTAGCCTCACTGAGAAATGAGCCAAGTGTGTATAGCAATATAGCTTAGTGAGAGAGCAGATGCACAGAAACGCACAAACTCCCTCAGATATGATTATTCACAATGTGTGCAGGTGTGGAGAGGGAGAAAATGTAAATACAAGAAAGAAAACTAATACTGTGTCTGGGATGGAAAGAGTTATGGATCCTCAAGCATAAGTCAATAGAACAAAGGTCAAGTAAAATGCCCACAAGACACTTCTTTTGTATAAATGAACCACATAACATGTCAAAATCAACCCAAATGGTTCAAAATCACTCACCACAGGGCCTTCATGTCCAAACAAATAATATATTTTTGATTATCAATTGTCCTATACTGAAAGCTGTTGATTTTAATTACACTACATAAAAAAAAAGCGAAACTAAGGACAAGAGTTGAAAATTAGAAATGTATATACACTCAGCCTCTTAACTTCATGCTCTTTATTGGATTTAAAATTATGTTAATGCTTATGAATATCAAATATATCTAATTATCAAGAGATCAAGACAGTATAATCCATATAAATTCAAAAAATTCAAAAAAGAAGAAAGAAATTCAACCCAATATATATCTGTTAGCTGATCTAATGTAGTTGCTGGAACATCATCATCTGAAAGAGAACAAACTGTACGAGTCTTCACTTTTTGAGACACAGCGGGGAAACCAGTATCCTCATTAACCACATGGTTTAAAGATCATCAGCACTCACTTCAGACGCTGGTCCAAGCTCTAATATGATTATCATTTTTAATCCAGCAGTTTGCATTCAGCTGCTGACTCTCACTCTGGATCTCTCGCAGTAATGTGAGAGCTCTCACTTCTGCTTAAGTACTCAGGTTGGAGAAGTTAACTAAGACACGTTATGAAGAGGACACACAGAAATATCACCTTCCCGTCTACCCACACAATTACACACATTAAGACATTCAGGATTAATAATAGTTAAGAATAAAATATTCAGATTCTGACACTTTTAGGAAACTACAAGATTATACCCATTGTTGTTTTGCTGCTGTTGCTGATTTTGCTCTTTTTTGGGGGGGATTAAAGCGGTTTTACGATGACCGCCAAACAAAATCCAAGGAGTTTCCCTTTTAAACAGCAATACTTGTCTGTGTCAGTCTTCATAATTTACAGAGAACATTTTACATTTGGTAAAAGCACAGCATGACATGGATTACAAAGCAAGCATGAGCCGGTTCATTATTTGGTGATTAGCAACTATTTTTCCATTCATTCATTTGTCTAACTGGCAGATGTCAGATGTCGCAGTCTCCTAAAGCAGGGGTTCCCAAACTTTGCCATGCCAAGGACCCCCATATAGCATTATTCTCTGGCGGGGACCCCCCTGTTGCATTTTTTTTTTTTAAATGATGTGTACAAGTGCCTCGCGATGGAGCATGCAGTGTGTTGCCACTACAATTGGGGCCTTCTGCCTGATCGAAGCTGTCACTCCGCTTTCTTTGCCTGTCATAGCCCCACTGCCCCATCTGAACACACACCCACACAACGAGACCAGTCAAGTCCGTTTGAGATGATGTACTCATCTAAAACTTGGAAAATGTCTCTTCATGTAGTCCTACCTTCCAGTGCTTTGCAAAACAATATTTCCTCTACAAAGTTGTCTTCTGAAATAAATCTGATGTATGCAAGCAATTCTGCGACATTTGCTACATCCGTGCTCTCATCCAGCTGCAGAGTGAAATATTCACTAGCTCTCACTTGCTCCAAAAGCTGAGCAGATACTCAGTTTCACTCTCAGTAGCGGCAGCATGATTCTGATTGGCTTGAAGGGCGGTCGTGTGATTCAAAAACAAAAAATATGAAAAAATTGGCATCAAAGGACACATAGATTGATAGATATGCAGTTATTAATAACATAAAAAAAAAAATATCAAACTTAAAATAAATAAATTCCTGTTTCCCTCAAACTTTGAGTGACCCCCCTAGCGCCCCCTGGCGGCCCCCAGGGGGTCGGGTTCCCCATTTTGGAAAACACTGTTCTAGGTAATCATACATCCTGTCATGTACACAGCTACATTGAAAGTAATATGAAATAAACAGTTTACAAAATACATCAACCGTTTGTTAGCCTCTCAAAAATTTCATCCCAATAAAGTGCTGGTTTCTCTGTTTCCAGGTGAGCT